ATAAAGTACAGATACTCAAAAAGTGTACTTAAGTACAATACTCAAGTAAATGTACTTAGTTACTGTCCGCCTCTGGTTATAATAAATGTATTAACAGAGCTGTTGTAATTATATACACATTTTTTTCGTCTTACTTTTTATTTTATTTTACAGAACAACAGTAAAATTACAACAATACTAACATTTATGAATGTTGAGGAAGTTCTTGCTTTTTCTCATGCCTCCTCGCGCTTTGGACTTTGAACCCTGGTTAACAAGCAGATAGCAGCGCTGTCAGAATACATGCAATGCACGCGTGTATTAGAAAGCATTAACGTTCTGCAGTTTATTTACTAATTGTTTAAGGCCATTTCGCGATTTCAATCATCGTACAGTAAACCAGCAACAATCACCCCTTCCTCTTCTCATCGAAGACATGCGATGCAGTACTAAACAGTCTCTCGCTGTCGGTGCTTGTAATGACTTTTTCGTCTTTCTCGGACAGTTTTAAATGCTTCCACACTGCTGACATGTTTGCTGCATTATAAAGAGTGCACGCCTCTCACTTTACGCTGGTTGCTATTTGATAGCGTCACGCCATTGTTCGGTACAATTTATTCTGTCTTTTCTCTTATTCAAATTTCGGTTTCGGTTGCCGAACACTTGGTGCATCCCTACTCGATAATGTCAAATTGCACATCGTTAAAACAACAATTACGATATTATATATAATATATACAGTATATATTTATACTAGGGATGCACCGATACCACTTTTTCCAGTACTCGCCCGATACCGATACTTTTATTTTTACACAACTATCAATACTTTGTTGGGTGACCCTTAGCCTTAATGACAGCCTGTAGTCTCCTGGGCATGCTGTCAGTCAGGTTCATGCAAACCTGAACTTCAGTTTTTTTCCCAGACTCGGTCTGAATAATTTTTGGTCCCAAATTTTTTATCAGTTTTAATTGTAGTCCACTGTATGAAGAATTTTTGGGTATAATTTATCACAGTTTACTTTATTTTGATATCCTCACTTACATAAATGAACTATAGTGTCCTGCACCCACTAAAAAAAAAAAATATCAAAAATTATATCTGGTCTATATCTGTTCATTTTTGGTTTGACTGTATATCCTTCGGTTATTTTCACACTTAATTACGGCCATTAAAATGTATTTTACAAGTTTTTCGAGCTGATAAGCAAAAGCACGCTGAGTGGATTGAGCAGGCACTTGTCAAGTTAATATCCCTTTCTCACAGACATCACTGGAAAGTTTGTAGTTCGGTCGGATATGTCAAAAACAAGTAAGTAAAACAATTTGTTCCAGAGCAAATACTTTCAGCTGAAGGCAAAATCTCATCACGTTATATTTTATGTAACTTTAATGCTGTATATTAGAGCATGGCTTTTATGATGGCTGCTGTTGTTGTTGTTTATTCAATAAATAATATTTTATATATATATAGTAGTATTTAGTATTAGGAAACAGTGTGTGTGTTCGTGATGGTGACGAGCGACGAGTGACTGTTTTTACGAGTCAGCATTTAAGACTTTTACATTGAAAGAGACTAAAACAGAAGTTATTTTTAATAACAGCTTGTAAGACGCAGTTAACAAATGCACTGAGCAGCGCTGTCATCGGAAATCACCCTTAACAGATGAAAGACAGTACTACAAAGATAATGCTTTCCTCAGCGGACATTGAAACTAATCTTTTACGTCAATATTAGATTGAGCTGAAGAATGAATGCTGTATCAGATGCGGTAATCACACTCACTCAGTCCATCTCTCTCTCACAATACTCTACATAACACAGTGAGCTTTTAATGAAGTAATACAATACGTTTTTAATGAAGCATCTCAACGTTCCTTCGTTACTAGCTCTAAAGTGACGTTTTCGAATTAGTAACGGGGCTTGTGCGCAGCTGTTAAACTGGCAAACTGAGATTTGAATATGTGGCGGAAGGAAGCAGTTCCGCACAAAAAGGTTTTTAAAGACACTCCGTTGTTGTTTTTCATATATATTTACACTCGTGCCGTCGAACTGTTGTATAAACGCAATATCACTCTCGTACTCGAGCGATACCGGCTCTATATCAGCGGCTGTGATTTGGCCTAATCACAGCCATGCTGATATAGAGCCGGTATCGCTCTCGTACTCGAGTGATATTGCTCATATATCGCACACCCCTACATCCAGCACTGCTTTCTGCTCCCCAAAACCATCAACACTAAACCAGAGCTGACCTTCGTCATGTCCCGATCCATCTTCACCACCTTCTCCATGTTCGCTCCGGTGCCGAGGCGGAAAGGACGACCCTCTGAGCTGCTGCAAGGTGTCACGCAAACACTGACGTCAATCATAACTTTGTGTCAGAACTGAAGTGTTTAATGAGGTGAGTGTGTTTTACCTGAGTAACGGCTGAAGCACCTCATGGGACGACTGGTCTTCTCTTTTATGGATGAAAATGGACAGCTTGCCATCCACGGCTTCACCCTCCTCGCTAGCGTCTCTGTCGGTCTTAGCGCTGCTCTTGGGACAGGCCCGTGTCAGACTGGTGTCGGCCTCAGAGGCGCTGGGGGAGAGCAACGTCTGACAACCTAAATAATATAATATAATAATATAAATAAACATGCTAATAAAGCAGGAAAGAAAAAAAAACACAGATAATATTAAAATTATTAAAATATTAAATAAATTATTCCAAAGTTAGAAATACATAATTAAATAGTGCCTGGAAGTAAATTAAAATAATAATATAAGGAAAAATAGTGCCAGTGAATTTGCAGTTTTCTTTGATGTACTATAACTCAGTAAGATTATTTTTTATTATTATTATTATTTTTTTAAGAAATCAATATTTTTATTTAGCAGCCAGTGTTATTTCAGTATCACTGAGATACTATTATAGTTTTATTAATATTTTGAATTTTTATATTTTCTGTTTTAGTAATTTTGTTGCATATTTTCTTTTTTTTTTTTAGTTTTTTTTGTTTGTTTAGATTAGTTTTTTTTTTTGTAGATCAAGTTAAACTAAATAAAAATCAATGTTGTTCATTGAATGCTGAAATAGTTTTAATTTATTTCAAGTATATATAAAAATATATATATTTTTTTTGTTTGTTTTATTTAACTAAAATATGCCAGGATGTTGCAAGGATGTATTAATTGATCAAACGCGACAGTAAAAATACTGAAAAAAGTGAAAAAAACATTGCTACAGAAAATTTCCATTTGAAATAAATGCTGTTCTTTCAACTTTCAATTCATCAAAAGGATTGCGAAAAATAAAATGCATCACAGTTTACACAAAAATATGAAGTTTTCAACATGTTTTCAACATTTTGTTTTTCTTGAGCAGTAAATCTGCATATTAGAATGATTTCTGAAGATCATGTGACACTGAAGACTGGAGTATAATATTTCACAAAACTACAGTATTTTTATCAAATAAATGCACACTTGGTGAGCAGAAGAGAACATAAAAAACACTTTAAAAAATTGTACTGACCTCAAACTTTTGAACGATCTATTTTCTTATAAGCTAGTTTTAGAGTACAAAATCTTTGGCCGGATCACAATAATAGACTTTTAAAAATATATTTATAAAAGGGATAGTTCCGGTGCTTGATTCTGATTGGCTGAGCCGCGTTCGAAGCTGTTGTAAATTACTCTAC